TTTAAAAAATCGGAACTGAACTATAATGTGACTAAAGAAGGGGAGTGATTATATAGGAGGTGACTATAGAGGGGGTCAACTGTATTTGAAACTTAATTATTTATTTTTTAAAAGTTTGATACTACAGCATGTAGAAGCAGATAATCGTGTAGAAGACTTACGCATAGATGTCTTGCAAGCAACTTGTTTTGTCATTAAAGCATGGGATGAGGTTAAAGTTGAAACAATTCGTAACTGCTAGCTCCATGTAAAAATTCTTTCCCCTTGTACCAATGAAGAAGCAGATTTGAGAAATATATTAGAAGATATCCATCAATCTGAAAACTATGCTTAATGATCTTGCAGATGATATTCAGGCCCTTAATCTCTCCCATCCAATGAAGTTAGAAGAATTTCTTAACATTCCTGAAGAGAATGTTATCTTCAAAATTCCCAAAGACGATCAAGAACTTGCATATCTTTTTAAAAATACTGATGAGGAAAATATGGATTGAGAAGAGATGGATGATAATTGTGAAAATCCCGTTATTAATTCTAGCACTGCAATTTCTAGTTTGGAAACTGTACGTATGTTTCTGTTCCAACAGGACAATGCGGAAGAATATGTAAAGTTAGTAGGAAAAATTGAAAAATTTTTTAAAATCAAAAAAACAAGTTCAATGCGGCAAACAAATATCGACACATATTTTCATCAAAAGTAATGCTTAGCTTGTGACTTGTGCCGTATAATGTTTAATTTGAGAGAAATTTTAATAAAATCACTGAAAAAAATTAAAGTTTCGATAATCGTGTAACAATATCTGTAATTTCATTGGCTGTTCTTTAAATGCACACCCTTCCTAAGTGCACGAACATGATCGGTCCCGAGAGCGTGCACTTATAGAGAGTTCACTGTATGTAGAATTTTTATAAAAAGATCGGCAAATGATCGACATTTATGTGATAAAAAGGTTAATAAATTATTACAATGTATATTACTTAATTAAAGGCTGTCTTAATATAATAATTTTTTGATTAAAATGTTTAACGCATTATAACATATCAAACTTTACTTAAAGAGGGATTTTCAAAATGTGTCTAATTTACAAAGTATTTTTTTTTATTTTTTCCATTAAATATAAAATAACACCATGCGACTTGCTATTAGTATCTATCTCTAATAAACTTAAAATATTATGAAATGCTTCAATTTTATTATTCAAGGTAAAATTTTTTAAAGATTAATGTTTTATTAAAAAATATTTCGATTCATTTAACTTGGTTTCCTTCTTTTTTTCTTTTCGTTCCTTAATTCCTTGATAAATATGAAACTAGATTATTTTTTACTTACTTTTAATAACCGTGATCAAAGATAAAATAATTATCACATGCATTTCACACAATTAAACAAAAGAAGAGAAAATCATAAAATAAATAAAATCATACCATATTATAAACTCACCTCTCATTCCAATATATCCAAGCCCAAAATAAACATGCAAACTTCTCTACTGTAAAGAATAAATCGTTAAATAATTCTACAAACATTCTACTTATAGCATTATATATGTAACATCATTAAATTTTTTTTTTTTAAAAAAAAAATATGCTTACAACAACTCGCATAAACTTTAATATATATATATTTTGATTTAACTGTTAATTTATACATTCCCAGAAAAGAAAAGATATAAAATATGATAAATGAAAATGATAAGGTAAGCAAATTATGTTGAAAAAAAATTTTTTTGAATAAAATTAATGGAAATATTTGTATACATACAATAAATGCAGTGATATCTATTTTTATTATTATTCTATTTTTAATATGTTTTTTTTTAAAAAATTTTGTGTTCTACGCCAGCGTTCTAACTTCAATCGTGGGCATAGCGAAACACCTGGTTAAAACGAAAATGGATTGAGATTAGAATAAATAATATATAATAATATATAAATAATAATAAAAATAAAGTCGTCTTCATTGTTATTGACATTTATAATAAAGTGTAGGTGCTATTATGATTGTGATTATAGTGGATTTTTCTCATAAGATTTTACTGTTTAGAAATTCTTAAGTTCTTGAGGTTGATTTATATATGGGTTAGAACGTACAAAAATCAGGTTTTGATCATATGATTTATATAGTCCCGCAGCATGATTTTCGTACGTACTAACCCATATATGGAGTATGATTCATAAAAAAATATATAACCTGAAAATTATCGTATATCAAGTTTGAACTATTGTCATAATGATATTGGTTATAGCATTGGTCGCAGAAATAGGCTGGAGTTTCTCCGGCAAAAAAATCGTTGACCGTTACAAGTCTATAAAAATTATTAGAAAATTATTAAAATATTAATTTTATTTAAGAGAAAAATAAGGTAAAACTCACGATGCAGGCCGTGCAGTACACATGCGACACTTGTGACGGATAATTTTACACTTAAAAGTTGACTTTGGAAAGGCATCTACATCAAACCCATCGGCTTCTTGCCATAATCTATAAATAATAATAATAATAACAATAAATCAGAGTAATAAAATAGAATTTATAATTTATACAATGCACCTACCTCAAGTCTGCAAACACTATGGCATGTTCACAATCACCTTTATGGACAAAAATATAAGGCTTATTTAACCTTATCGAGAGATCACTAAATTTCACCTCTTCCATTTTTTTTCTCTGATATAACCCGAGTCCTGGGTGGGCATAACGCTCATTTTCATTTACCCAATCGATAATCTCTCTGTTTAATCAGTGTATTTATTAAATAACGAATACTGAATTAAAATAAATAAAATTCAAAAAAACATACTTGCTATAGTCCAATGCATCTTTATCCCTGCAATCATTATAAAACACATCTTCAATGAAAAAATAACTACCCGATTTTTTCTCCTCAGAAGAATTCAAAGCATTTATTGATGCAGATAATTCAGAAGCTTCTTGTTTATAAAAGTCACTGATGCAATAAAAAGCATCTCTAAGCGCTGTTAATGGTTGACTTCCGAGAACCAAAAATTCCTGTGTTCTGCTTACAGGGTTGCTCTGATTATAAAATGCTACGGATAAAACAACTTCAGGATCGCCACTAATATCGATATTTTTAATATTATCGGATTTCTTCTAAGAAAATAAAGTTCGTTAAATTATAAACGATAAATATTTTTTAAATATAAAATCACATACATTTATTATTGAAGAAACATAATTCAAATCGTGGCGTTTCTTTGAAGGTGCTGGAGCTCGATATTTTGAACTTAATTGATACATAAAATCGTTAATAATTCGAATGAAAATTTATGATACTTAAGAATGTGCATACTTTAAACTAGCCAAAGGTGAACTATCCAATAAAGCTGCCATCTCCCAAAATCTATTTTCCATAGCAGAGAGTTCAGGTCTTTCGCTTGGATCGATTCCTTTACGAGACTTTGCAGTGATAGAAGAAATTGAAACTGTGGGAACGATTATATTGGAAGTTTCAGAAAATGAAGATGATGCAATATTGCTAGAATTATCCCGTGCGTCCTTCTTATTTCGGCGTTTAACCCGTTTATTACTTTGTGTACGTAAAGACGATTCTTGTCCATCTTGTCCATTGCATTCATCAGAAATCGCCTTTCTTTTCTTTGATGAAGTTGCCGGTGATTGAGAACGACATATGACATCGTCATCTTTATTTTTGATATGAGACCCACTTCCGTTAGTTTCTTCTATCCTTGATGATGATAATGGGGGTAATGCAATAGAACCTGAATTTGATCCGTTTTGTATCTTATCGCCATCAATCGAATAATATTGTCGAAGAAGACTGAATAAAGTTGGGTCTGCAAAGAATTGACTTGACAATTTTAGACATTCTTGAACACTATGCAATAACAATAAAATAAAATATTAATAACAATATTTGTGGATTGGTGTTTAAATTTATTTATTATACCACCTACCTGCACTTTTCTGCGATTTCTCGATATTGAGATTTAGTGAGTTTCTTTGAACTCGAGGAAACACTTTGCATTTCAGAAATTTCACGTTCAAATGCGTTTGAAAAAGATTTAGCGAACTTCCTTATGATGATCAACTCTGTTGGTTCTCCTATGTTAAGAGACCATTCATTTTTCTGTTTTTGTTGTTCAGACGTTGAATTAGAATCTATTTGTTCTACTAAAGGTTCATCAATGTTAAAGCCCTCATTTTCAGAATTGTGTTCGTTTAACGAAGGACCTTTAAACGAAAAGTTGTTTGCTATTGTAATGGGATCGTTTTCAATGAATGTATTTACAGTAGTTGATCTTTGAGAAACCTGTGAATTATTTGTCTGAAATGTTGTACTTTGATTAGAGAATTCCTCAAAGTACACCTCTAGAAGAGAGGCAACATCTTCAATATTGTCTGGTTGAGTAACAATATTAAACAAGGAATTATTTGTGTTAGAGTTATTTGTCATTTCATTAATTGAAACCAATTCATTTTGGAGAGTTTGGCAATCGAAACGCTGCTTCTCAACCAAAACATTTGCGATATTGGGCATGTCTATTGAAACGTTATTGAGACCCTTCATGACTATAATATTTAATAAAAAGTATAAATTAAAAAAAAAAAAAAAAACACGAAAAATAAACAGGGATTTGAAAAAATTATCGGGATTCTTATCGTTACACGATTATTTATACATCCTGATTGTTATTTGTCACACCCATTTTTTTAAAAAACAAATTTTATTTATTTGAAATTTACTTGTTTATTAGCTTAATTTACTATAGTATTGATTTGATTACAGTAATATAATTAAATTTAAAAGTAATTTTATCTAACTTTTGAGAAAGACGTATTAGTAGCTTAAAAATATTTATAAATTTTTATATTAAAATAAATTTAAGGAATAATAATCATTATTCTAAAATAATAATCAAATTATTGTTTAAAAAAATAATTAATTATCATTTTGAAAATGATTTTTCATTATTTTAAATAATGGATTTCAGAATGATACAGACGTTATTCATTAAAGTTTAGAATCATTGTTAGAATTAAAGTTGTAAAGCTGATTAATATATAGCAATAATTCTATTTTAACTGATTCAATAATTAAAAGAATCATATGAAAACATTGATAGTAAAATCAAGTCACAAGATATAGTAAATCATATGATCTGTAATATAATTTTACTGTTGATATTCCTATATATGATATAGAGGAACAGATCTAAAGATAATTGAATTCTTCAATTTCTATTTGACATTTACAATAGATACATTTCTTATAAAGATTCAGAAGTCTTGATTTTAATGTATGCATTTTTAAAAGAAATTTTATTTTTGTTTCTTTGTATATGAGTCATAATATAACATTGCAAATTAGGATTCATTATCATTAAATATAAAAGTTATAGTATTACAATTGAAATTTAAGTAATGATATCTATCAAATATAAAAGATTAATAATATCATAAAAATACATTAAGTGGTAAAATTCTTTAATAAAATAATGTAATAATGAAAATATAAGTTATTTCAAAAATGATAAGATATAGTTTGATTCAAATAATATAATATTAAAAGAGAAAGTAATTAATCAGCTTTTACCAATCGATTGATTTTCTTATTAAAATGATTGTCAAATAAGCTTTTACTTTGATATATTTTTAGTATTAATAAGATTGAATAGGTAAAATTATAGAAGAAAGTAAAAGACTTTAAAATATAGAATTAATAATAGAAAATGATAATAAAAACAAGTGTATAATCAGATTTTATATAGTTATATCCTATATAGTTACATCTTTTTATATGTATCTAATTTTGAGAAATAGTTTTAATTAATATTAAATTATCTCTATATAATCACAAATCAACTATAATTACTATTACATATTTTTCCAACTACATATTATTTTTATTAATAATTATATCTTTTTTATAATCACTATACTTTTGGTCAAATCATAATTTAACCAAAATTATGAATCACATAACTTATGATTGTTATCCCTTAGATTATAAGATTTTACAGGCAAATTTGACTGCTTATTTACTATAAATTCTTCTCTAATTTACTTTTATAAATAATTAATATTTTAAAAAAAAAATTTTTAAATTAATTTTATAAATATATAGTATATTATAATAAGATTTCTTTTTTAATTATATAATAAAAAATTTAATGTTACTTAGAAGCTAAAAATTTGTAATTTTTAAAAAAAAATTATTTTTAAAAATTTCATGATTAATCTAATACAAAGTTTTAGAATTTACTTTTAACTATATTAATCATAATAAAATATTATAAAATTACTTATAA